TGTGAATGTGCGGCCATGCTTCCGGTAAAAGAAAATTAGTGTCTGTTTGTTTGCGTAAACCTCTAAAGGGGTAGCTCTAACAGGTACCTATACAGCAATGGCTGCATGCTCATACATATACATTCCGCTGCCCATTGGCTCACAGTGGTTTTACCATATTGAGACAAGACAAGCTCTCCTTGCGTAGCAAGACAAAACAACTACTGTCCGTGTGCAGGGCGCTGCCCTTTGATCCTTAGGGAATAACTGGTCATACACCTCCTAACAAGGAGTATTCCTTGTGGGTGTATCGGCACACCCCCCCCCCTCCCCCCCTCCCGCCCCCCCCACTCCCCCTTCCCTCCCGCTCCTCCTCCGCTCGCTGACAGGTGCGAGCTTTCTGGAGTTTTCGACGACACGGGACTGCAATGTAGCATCTTTATATACGTCTCAGGCTTGTTTTAGACGCCCTTTCGTTGGGATAGGCGGAGTAACGTGGTTGAAAAGGCTGTGATGCTTCCCTAATCCAAGACGCACAGCCTCAACGGCCCATACTTAAGGCATCCCGCCGCTTGCGAGAGTCTTGGTATCCAGTGTTTCGGAATGACGACACCAAAATTGGTACTGATACTACCACTACTAATACTACTCATAATCATCCTGCTTCGTGTTGCTATGAACATTACTTTTACAAGAAGTGCGATTCCAACTGTTACTTTTTTCCTACAAGAGCTTGCTGCAGACAGGAGCCACTCGCCGCATGCGCGTACAGCCGGGCCGAGGCGGACGACGCGCAGCGTTTCAAATTAAGGAATTTACCTTAAATTATAGTAGGACCCCTAATATGATTTAAGGTATATTCCTTATTTCAGGGGTTTTGGAGTCTCTGGGCCCTTCAGGGAACTTCAAGGAACCTTACGGGTTCCCTTAAGGGCAACTCAAAAAGGAACTCGCTTAAGGGGGGCTTAAAAATTTCCCTTCCGGGAGCCCTAACAGAAAACCCTTGAGGGAACTACTAAGGGTTCCCCAAGAATTCCGGTTCCCTTAAGGAAGGGAACCCTGCGCACGGGTTTCTTGAAGGACCACTTAAAGGAACCTTTAAAGAAGAACGGGCTCCCTTGAAGGGCTGATTTTCAAGGTTCCCCCGCTGGTTGTATCAGTGATGCTCTCATGCTTTCAGACTCTCAGGGTTGCTATCCACATCTACATATACATGTATGCTTAGACTTATATGTGTATATACATACATGCATACATACATGCATGCATGCTTGCATGCGCACACGCGTATGCATATGCATATGCATAGACATTTACCCACACACACATACCATACACACACGTACACATACACATACACATACATCCATACATACGCATACGCATACACGCATGCGCATATACATACTCAAGCACATACACATGGCATAGACATACACTGTAGGCTTAGACATTGGCACATGCGTATACATATGCGTACCATACAGATATACATATACATATGCATAATGGCATATACACATACAGATACATATAGAAATGCACATACTCATACACATACTCACACATCATATAAATATGCATACACATACAAAGACACATACATATACATGGACGTATATATTATATATGTATATATATATATACATATACATATATATATATATATATATATACATAGTTAGGGGTGGAGGGTGCTATACTGGGTTTAGGGCTTGGTTTTGGACAAGGG